TGGCTGAACTTACCTTTACAATGTTTGCAAACGTTCCTTTGATTTATGTAGAAAATAAGGATGCCAACCACAGTCACGCGCACAGGCCAACAGCCCTCCAAGAACAAGGACAACTGGGTCCAGCTCTGATCCTGAATCTAAACATTTTCCAAAAGACATTAAGAATTGTTAAGATATCGACATTGGAGTAATCATTGGTTTTTTGAACGCCAAGCATATGGCATTTAGAAAACTAATGATCTTCAAATGAGTTTAATCAAAAATATTTTTTATCTGAGTTCTGAGGTAAAGACCTGACATATATAGAGAACAGTGTTTGAGTCATTGATTAAAGGTAAACTTGAAATGGAATAAGGCACATACGTTTCTAGGAGGAAAACAACGTATCATGTAATTATTGTGACTGAATGAGTTATTTTTCAATGTTTTTTGCACAACAAATGTTTTAGTGGTCCTCAAATGTCTAGTATGGAAAAGTTAATTAGTTATCCTCCTGAAACCAACAGACTAATCATCATTGATATTCATTACATTTACACTAAAAAAAAAAAAAAAAAGCTAAATGAAATCACACAAGACTCATTTATGATTCAAATACAATTGTAAAACGTACTTGTCTCCACTTTAGTTCCTTCACCAAAACAGGATCTCTCCACATTGACACAGCACAGTAGTACGTCCCGAGCATCACGAGAGGTCATCTGTCAATAGATTTGTGGAACAGAATTAGACACACGCTCCTTTTCCTCTTGCGTTCATCACTGCACTTGCATTGCAGTGTATAGTAACGATGATTGCGACCTGGAAGTGAAATCTCGTTGACATTTCGCTGCGATGATATCTGGTATTCTGAACTCTATCACACTGTGTTCACCTGGACACTGGGCTCTGCTCCTTTGTTCGTGTAGAGAAGTGAACACTGGAGATCATTGAGGCTCCCCACTGGACTGATGCTGTCTCCGGACTTTGATGCACGTAGACATGTTTCTGCTCATTACAACCTGTTTTGGTTAAATTTAAAGAAGGGATGAAAACAATTCACATTCAAAAATTATTTGTTGGATATGAGTCTTTATCACTCACATAGGCTCAAGCACTGAAAAGTATAGGATATTTTACCGTTCACAGCCAAGAATGTGCCATTGCTGACAGTCTGTGAATACGATGATCCACTTTGACAGAAGTACGTTGCCTCATCCACTTTGCTGACATTTCTAATGGTAAGAAGATAATGATTATCTCCTTTTGTTACTGTTGAAACGTGAGTCTTTAAATTGTTCAAGATTTGATAGATACGTGACTTTATATACCAATGATTTGGTATTACTGCTATAATAACAATTTTATATATGATGAAAACATGCTGTGTCACTTCGTCTGGCAGAAGTTTTCTTTTTACCGTACTCAACTTCTGATTTCGGTTATGCTTTCGAGGCGTCGCTTTAAGAGCCCGAACGTATGAAATTACATTAATAATATTTTGCAAACCAGCTTGTAACTTCCATAAATATTTTGGGCCTATAGCACAGCATTTCAATGAATGGTGTGGTATAAAACAAATGAATAAATAGAAAATCTATATTTTCCCATATTTACATGTCACAAGCTGCATTGAACACGTTACAGGTTTTTTTCTTTAATGTAAAGCCAAAAGCTGAAAATATGTCCCTTGTTCATTCGTCCTGTTATCGTAATGAAAGGTCGACAGTAACACACAATGCTATTTTAATAATGTTAACGTTTATAGTTAACGCCAAGAGTAATCAGCGCTACACTACGACAGCAGTAACCATATTCTTCATGTTTACACACAATGTGAAGGCTTCGTGTTTTGTTTTGTTTTTTAACAGGAGCAATGAGTTTTTCACATCATCGTGAAGAAGAGGCAGTGAACTTTGCAGCACTGGATTTCTCTGCAAGAAGAGTGAAAAGAGGAAGGAAGAAGAGTGAGTCACCACAAGAGTGTGCATACTCTGTTGCATATTACCACAAGCAGCAAAACCCCTCTCTATAGGCAGAACAACTCCCTATAGAGGTTATCACCTTAGGTCACCTTAGGGTGGGGGTTCACCTGTCAACAGTAGTTTTTATTGAAAAGATCCACACTGAAGGTTACTGAATTTTGCTTTTAAAAAATGTTCACATGGAACAGATGCAACATGCTTCTAGAAAACTATAGATGGCAAGTAATCCTGTTAAATCCCTCTGAGGCTGTCAAAGTTCAAAACTTGATAAACTACTGTTTATGTAAGCGACGGATGGATTTCAGTTATTCTGGCATTTGTAAATCTCAAGGAAACCAACACAATGACATGTCCACAGCAGCTCGAAATCACGTTCACAAATAGTTTTAATGGTCAAAACAATAACAAAAACAATAAACCAAAAAGAAAAAAAAAGCAAATAGCATAAACTCTATAGAAATTTACTTACAACAGATCTGTGGTCTCTGTGTCTAAACAAGATTCACACTGGTACCAGTGCAGGGCGCTGGCTGATATTCAGTACCAATCAGTATTTTTCTCTGACTGAAAACATGTAAACTTCAGATATTCCGCCCATCAAATATGTCGGTGCCAGGACTGAGTAAGGGAATTGGATCAGTGCATTTCTACAAACTTATTCTGTTGTTAATTTTGTAGCTTTCCCTCCGTCGGATTTTAGTGGTAGTCAGCTTTAATCATGGTGAATACGACTGTAGAATAAACCCATCTGTCCTCATCACTCTGAAAAAAGATACGAGACAACAGAGTTAAAAAACCTTAAGAACCTTTTTTTTAGAAGTTTAATCAAAACTGTAAATACTATAGCTTCTGACTTTTCTGACCAACATTGTTTATATGCAGAGAGACGGCAGCTGGATTTTGAAATTAAAAAAATGCACCAATTGAAAATGAGAGGATTGATTTCAATACATGTACATATAAAAATATCTGATAATTATTTTGTAGCTACATATTTATATTCTTTACCTGCTGACTTTGATGATTACCACTGGCTGCTGCAGCATTTGTTTGCAGACTGACGGCAGCTATTTTAATAAAGAATAAGTCACAGTAAAAAATGATTCACTGGATCTGACTTTTTTTTTTTTTAAAGATGAATGAAGTTTGCTTACACACAGGTCAAATATGAATCAAATGATGACAGTTTATAACAATTCAATAGATTGATATATGAGCAACTTTTCTTACCGTTGCAACAACCACAAGATTTCATTGTGATGGCACAAACAAGGAAGGCTGTAACAATCAGACTTACAGCCAAAGCAGCAAACAACAGAAGGACAATTGTATTGTCCTTTTGTGAATCACACGTGTCGACAACTGAAACATTAAATAAAGAAAATATTAAAGTTAAGAAATAGCAAAAAAAAAATTGACGATATTTGATAGTATGTTAATAAAATGATGATAATTTTCTCATTATATAGAAATATGGTGCTGTTACCTTCAATGTCCACTTTTGTTCCATTTCCAAATAATATCTCTCCACACGTGGCCACAGCGCAGTAATGAGTCCCAGCATCAGAGGAGCTGACGATCTTTGAGAAGTTGTAGACACATTTCTGTGTCGACTGAGCTTCAGGATTCTTTTCACACTGATTCACAGTGTTTTCATGAGCATAAATTAAACTGGGATGAGATTCATCTGCTCCGGCTCTGAACCAGTACACTCTGTGATCTACTGGACACGTTTTCCTCTTAAGGTCGAAGAGGACTGAACACCGGAGAGTCGCTGAGTCTTCTGGACGGACTGGATCAGATACAAAGTCTTCTGTGATGGCAATGATCTCAGGTTCTGGCTCTATGAAATTAAAAAAACAAAAAATAAACGTGTTTTATTCAGTTCATTGAGGATACATTGAAGGAGGGGCATATATATTACAATTGTTTATTCATAAACAAAAGACAAAGTCTGGTCACTTTTATATGAATTATGTAAACATACAATGCATTAACTAAATATATACAAGTAAGAAAGTGAGTAAAACTGCTCTTATAAACGATGTATAATGCTATGATTCTTATGACATCTGGAATCTTTTGCTGTTTTTGCTGGATTTACCTTTGACTCTCAGAAATATTCCTTTCAGAAATGTAATGTCAAGTTTTTCTACTTGTAGGCAGTAGTAGATTGCAGTGTCGCTGAACTGTGCTTTGGAAATATGCTTTTCCAATTTTTCAAGCTTTTGTTTTGCTTCTGTGTGATGAGTTTCCTTAACACTGTTTTCATCAAAAGAAAAGTAAGTAACTTGTCCTCCTAAACCTTCTGGAAATGTTCCAGAAACAAGCCTGATCCAAAATAAGCGTGCAGACTTCGAAGTTCCCTGGCGGGTACATGTCAGAGTCACAGTTTCTCCAACATTAACAGTCTTTGTCTCGAAGATGTGTTCATCTGCGCATCCTGAAAATAAAATAAAGACAGAGGAATGATTAACGACAGGGAAACAGTCATATGCCTTCTCTATATTAATGCAAAAAGACCGCAATGTATTTTAAATATTTCTGGAATAATACTTACGCCCGATTTTGAGCATGAGCAGCATATATATTATGATCAGCATTCTCCGATTTCACCAGCTGGGACAGCAGTTAATTTAGACCCTACTATAACAAGATTCAACTTCATGTAGTCATAGCAAATGGGAGGGAACGATCTCAGAGCGACCTGATTGGCCTTTTGTAATGTTGCTGTTTCACTGTACAACCACAGTGGAAAGAAATTCAACTAAACTTTCCATATTAAGAACATGAAACAACACCAGCAGCATCTGTTTGTTGTGTGAAATTTAGTTCTCATGATGGGTTCCCAAATCTGACACTTTAAACACAGAAGGTCTTGTAGGAGAGATATTGTAAACTCAACATACTGTATCTGTTGATTTTGCTACAACAGCTATTGAGACATTTCACTCAAAATTGCATGCCAGCCTGCTGGTGACAGTAGTGAAAAAGTCAGAGTTTCATCATACTGATTAGGATTCATCCTCTGGGGACTATAATTATCTGTTTAAAATGCCATGGCAATCCATCTAACAGCTGCCGTGATATTTCAGTCAGGACCAAAGAGATGGTCTAACCGCCAACGCTGACATCAGTGAAGCCAAAAAGCAGGAAGGACCGGCCAATCCAGGTGCCCCTCAACATCAGTAATGACCCGCCCACTCTGCCTGTCAGTCATCTGTAATGAAACACGTCAGCTGGGCAGAAGCTTATCCCAACATGCATTAGGTGAAAGGCAGTAGCAGAGCACTATCAGTTTCTGGGCTTTCACAGAAACTCAAAGGACAAATCAGAGTTCACGATATTACTGGGACCCATGTGAACCTGGAGCGATATCCAGTTAAACTCCACTCATGAAAAACCAAGAGGGACAATGCAAATATTTCTCTTTTTAAAGGAAGCTTTGTTCCTACATTAACTGCAAGTACAAAACTACATAAACTACATGAAGCGCTTTCCCAGAATAAACTACCATGAGATCCAGCGGCCTGGGTTCTTGTTGACCCTCAGCTTTCACTTTATCCTACTTCTATTAAACCAACAAAGAGGAAAATGAGGTGAAATCATTTACCAAGAATTTAAATGAAGTAAGATAAAATCCTTCAGAGTCATTCTGAGGCATCACTTAAGACAATCAAAAACAAAAACAAACAAACAAACAAACAAACAAACAAAAGAAAACACAACAGCCCCTTTTCTACCAAGATAATGGAAAAATGAAACGACCTGGCAGGAAATACTCTGAGTTTACGATGGCATGAATGATGCATGAATCAACAACAACAACAACAACAACAACAACAACAACAATTTACTGGTTATACTCTGAATGCAGTTTGGGTGAGATGTGTGTGTGGTAACTTACAGCTGTACTGATGGCATCTTCACTCACACCAGTTACTGGTCAGCAGTTCAACAGTCTCCTGTTCCCGCCACAGTCCCACTAACGAGTCCCGGTGGTGATGGAAGAAAAAAAAAATCCAATCCAACCTCGGTCTCAGTTGCAGCGAGAAAAGGAAACAGGCCCCGATCAACACCAGAGATGCAACTGTGCTTCTTTGCTAACACAGTGCGCTGTCTGGTGCAGTGTGCAGGCTTCAAAGTCCATACATTAATGCTAGCATGCCATTAGCAAGTCTGCTAACTAATAGCTATGCGGCAGATTAACTCCCAGACACTCAATGCAATCTGCAAAGACTTCTAGCCTTGAAACACACTTCTTACAAATGAGTCAGGCGACTACTAGAGTCTCTATATCTTACACTTGGTTTACAAACTGTAGCTATTTGTCAGGTGACGTCACGGGAATGGTTAGCTGTTTATCTCTGTGGTTGTTGTTTGATTGTTTGCCACTAGGAGTTGTTGGTAAATATCACAATGGATAGAGACGAGGGCAAAAGACACAGCAAAAGAAGTGGATGGTCTTTTTGTATTGCCCCTGGGTGCTCATGAGTACTGCTGCACAAAAGAGAACAGTACACTGGGATAAATCAAGTTTCATTCATTCATTCATTCATTCTAATGTGCATGGCTATAATTAACATAGAAATTCTCAGAAATCCATAGAAACTCTCTCTATTGTGCTCATATGGACCACAATGGAAATTAGTTAATTTTTATTTAACTTTTTTGTGTTATTCTTGACATTAATAAATAAACAGGCTAACCCTTACCCTAACCCTGACATTTTATATTTGTTTCAATACATCACATAAATATAATCAAAACAATGTTGATAGTAGCTGCAGCGTGACAGGCCCTCTTGCAAGCTACCATTAGAAGCACAGTGGTGCATCACAGGCTCCAGTGTCTCAGCTCAGACGTCCCTTGACAACACAACATCTGAAATGTCAGATTAGTTGTAATGAAGCCAATGTTGTCACGTATGAGATGCTTCATGTTGACCTGGCATTGCGATAGAAACCCTGCACTGGCATCACCTCTTCTTCAAAACTTTCAAATTGCATTGTTGTACTAACGTGTGACTGGTCTGAAGTATTCTCGTGACATCAGCCATGATGAAAACAGTGTTGCTTGAGAAGTTTGTCACTGGAGTGTAATTGTCAGTTAGCGTTTGTTTTTTTTGTTGTTGATATTTTTTCTCTATACTGCACATTTGATATGTTGACTGTCAGTTCAAACTGATAATCCTAATACTTCTTCAGACATAAAGGTGGAGATGTCCAGGCAGAGAGCAGCAAGATGCAAGAGAGAAACTTACAGGAAAGACAGGTTGCACAAAATCATCAGACATGACCCTGAAATTAAGTGAGATTTGCTGTTTCTACTACTACTGTCGTGAAAAGGTGGTGGGAGGGTGTGGGGGTGGTTTGTTGATCCTTTATCTCTGCTTGCCTATCTGTAGAAGTCACAGCACGCCACTGTTGCTCACAGTCTGTGATGCATGGAAACTTAAGCATTGCTGTGGTCAGGCTTTCAAGCTCAGGTATAAATTCAAAGGGTCTTTTCTCTCTGTTTGACCCTCTGTTTTAGTCTGTGTACATGACCATATGAACTGTGTCTGCTTTTCATTTTTTTAAAACACAGTGTAGCTTGCAGTTTTTATGAAGATACATCAGCCTTTTGCAAAATATAATTATTTCCTTCTTGGCAAGAGTTAAAAAAACATATATGAATTTAATCTCTATTCAGTCAACAGAGATTGATTCAGGGTGTGTTTAATAGTGTAGCACAAAGAAACAACTGAATAATGAACTTAATTGTCTTGTTTACATTTTCTCATTAGCTAGCCACAGAAATACAATATTAAAAAAACAAAATGGTTTATTGATTATTTTACATTAGACTTTACCTTTTTTTTCTTAATTTTGTTTGAATAAAATCAAATTTGTTTTACACTGGTTTACAGATGTTAGGAAGCTTCCAGTGTCCCAGCGCTAAACAAAGCTAAAACCTGAGAGCTTACACTCAATAGAAAAAAACCCCGTGTGCCCATTTTGGTTGAATTGCAAAAGTGTGTTTGCCAAGTTTAGGGGGGAGTACATTTCAGCCAATCAGTATGTCCTCTTCTCTGTAAACTGCGGTGATCTTGTGATCAAACCTCTTTGGGTGGAAAGATGTCAGTAGTGCAAGAGAAGGGTGCTGTACCACAATGATCGGAAGATTGGCTGCTTTGATTCTTGTGTGTAAGTACGCGACTTACCTAGTGTGACATAAATACCACTTGTTCTATGTTTACTGTGTGAAAAAAATAGCAATATATTTTTGGCGAGGCCCTGTAATAATCTTTATATGGCAGATTTTTAATTTATTTTTTCTTCGTGTGTTGTAACTGTTTTTGTTTGTCTCTTTTCTTCAGCTCTGGCTCAAACTGCAGAGGTTCCTCACCTGATCTCTTTGAATGCGGTTGAACTTGGTGACAATGCCACTTTCACATGTCCAGTCTCTGACACGGAAAACAAAATCTTGCTTTGGTGTAAGCAGCCTCTTGGACAAATAGTCCAAATGGTTGCTGCAGTAATAGTTGGTACAATAACAGTCACTGAACAATTTAAAGACTCACGTTTCACAGTAACAAAAGGAGATAATCATTATCTTCTTACCATTAGAAATGTCAGCAAAGTGGATGAAGCAACGTACTTCTGTCAAAGTGGAACATCGTATTCACAGACTGTCAGCAATGGCACATTCTTGGCTGTGAACGGTAAAATATCCTATACTTTTCAGTGCTTGAGCCTATGTGAGTGATCAAAAGGCTCATAAGTCACACAAATAATTTTGAATGTGAATTGTTTTCATCCCTCCTCTAAATTTAACCAAACAGGTTGTAATGAGCAGAAACATGTCTACGTGCATCAAAGTCCGGAGACAGCATCAGTTCAGCTGGGAGCCTCAATGACTCTCCAGTGTTCACTTCTCTACACGAACAAAGAGAGCAGAGCCCAGTGTCCAGGTGAACACAGTGTGCACTGGTTCAGAGCTGGATCAGGAGGATTTCATCCAGGCATCATTTACACTCACAGCAACAGGAGTGATGAACAAGAGGAAAGGAGCTGTGTCTACAGTTTGTCCAAAACTATACAGAACTCCTCTGATGCTGGGACGTACTACTGTGCTGTGGTCACATGTGGAGAGATCCTGTTTGGTGAAGGAACTAAAGTGGAGACAAGTACGTATTTACAATTGTATTTGAATCATAAATGAGTCTTGATGAATTTAGATTGGTTAAAATATATAGTCCATGTAGGCTGACGGTTTTCATTCAAGTTTGAGAGAGTGACTTATAATTGATAAAAACATGAAGCCAATTGCTATGAGCTGAGGATATTTTTGTGATTTAGGATCAGGACTGGACCCAGTTGTCGTTGTGCTTGGAGGGTTGCTGGCCTGCTGTGTCACTGTGATTGTCATCCTCATTTTCTTTGTGAATCAAAGAGTTTGTGAACATTGCAAAGGTATGTTGATCATACATAAATTTTCTATTCATTAATTTAATTATGCTTAGGGATGCAACAGTGATTAGCTTTTGTTTTATTTTTGATCTCAATTAAGCTCTCTGAGACCCAACCATGAAAGACAGAAATTATAGTAAATTTCTATTAAATTAAAAATTATGGGCTTGTGATTCGAGGGTTGGCAGTTTAAGTCCTGAAAAACAGTGGATCTTAGTCTGAACATCCACCTGAGTGTTGTCTTTGGAACAACATGCATCCGTGTTACTTTTTTACATCTGTCAAATAGTACTCAAATATTTTATTCAAGTAAGAGTACCACTGCCACAGACCAAAGGAAAAGTATATGTTCTGTAGTCAGAGGATTTGAAATGTGACTGTTACAACTGAGTTACTGGATAAATCCTTATATTTGTCTTTCCTGACTCATTAGATTTTGGTCTGAGTGTGTTGCATCAAAATGGTAACTTCTAGAAAGAATGTATGGTTACTCCTTCACGGGACAACAAGGTGCTACAGCTGAAATTAAAAGCTTTATTTTTATTTACAGGAGCAATGAGTGCTTCCTGTCTCCGTGGACATGACGGGTCAGCTGTTGATGGATCAAATAATGTGGTAAATATATTCTAAAGCTGTCATAATTAATACTATTATATTAAGAATAGATCAAATGACTGTGTACAGAGAAAGGTGTTGATAATATAGTATATAGAGCTTGTTATAGGTCAAAGTTGTGGGTACAGTCTATGTGCAATGGAGGACAAAGAGTACCCTAATACTTTCAAACAAACTGTACACCGACTTTTTAATTAAAAGTTTTAGTGTTTGTTGGGACTCAACTACACATGATGACATAGCCAACACCATATGATTTATATTATTTTTAACTCATGTTGACATTACAGCTCTAATCTAACAAATATTAGCAATTAACACAATCAGTATGTTTTTATTTACAGGATGGTGAAGCAGTGAACTATGTAGCACTGACTTTCTCTGCACGGAAAGCAAAAAGATTGAAGAAACGAGAGTCGCCACAGGAGTGTTTGTAGCTCATCCTGTTGTGTGTTATGATATAGTATTTCATTTCTAACTGTAACCCAATCATTTAGTTTCTCAAGACACCGTTTTTCCCTGACAAAAATGCTGAACATAGCCTTAAGACCTGGTTATGAGACAGGAGTTAATGGTATTATGGCTTTTGAATAAATGTTTGTGTATTTAGTGTCCTGCTAATGACTAAACTGTGCTAACACGCTAATGGGTTTGCTAACCAACCATGACCTTATTAGCTCAAAGAGCTTTATTTGCCCTGCAATAGTGTTTTTGTGTACAATAGAGAAAAAAATGCCAGGGGGTAGTAACCAGAACAGCATAGAGAAAACAGACAGAATATCCAGGTGCTACTGAGACTGACTGAGTGAGAGAGTTAGCGGTCAGTTCACCAGCTACAGCGGTTCATTGACTAACACTGCGAGTAAAGTTATCAAGCTTCTAGACACAAATACTTCACAAAAATGCACAAATTAATTTAGCAGTATCACTTTCTGATATGACCAGGTCTTAAGGCATTTAGACACAAGGATTCACCAAAATAAGAGAAAAAAAAATATTGCTGACAATGCAGGTGTGTGTTATCAGATTTATATAGCCTATATTTTTTTATTTGTTCTGTTAATGTGTGTGTGGTAGCTTGTACCAATATTTGTGTCAGTTGGATTGCATACTGTAACAGCTTTTATTTATTTTAGCTTATGTTTGGAAAAAAAAAAATAGCTGTGTTTGCTGATGTTTTGTTATTGTCAGAATTGGATATTTATGTTGTTTTCTGGTCAGACTGATAAAGTGAATAATTGAACCAATTGAATTCCAAAAAATCCTACTCCATTTAAGAAGAAATCCATGTTGTGAATACTATCCAAACAAGATAGTCAAAAGACACTCAACATCTCAGATAAAATATTAAAATGGGATTGTTAGGGTTACCAGTTCACTCACATGAAACAGTCAGCCGCTTACTTCAATAAAAGTTTCTCTTAGATTTGTCCTTCTTTCTGGCCTGCTCTATGAAATATCCCACGGACTCACCCGAGATGACATCACAGAACTACAATAACTTTCTTAAAGCAAACAAATTCATTCACTAAGTATGACACAATTTAACTCAAATGATTGTAAGGATAAAATCAGGTTATAACATTTTATATCCAAATGGTCAAAGGTCAACTTCATTGTGACATCATAGTGTTAGCAAAAATACTTCTGTCCATTATTCATTGTTGTAACTCAGGAAGGGGAAAATGGGATGGGGATGCTGGTAATTCTAGTTTTTCAGGTGGCGTGGTGTATCATCTGTAGGTTTAATGTTTATAGTGTGATAAGTTTGTGGCATACTGTATATATTTTAAGATCTTCTGTCAGAATTTTTTTGTAAAGCACAGAATGCATGTGTTCATAAAATATGAGGGCACATCTAGAGAGGTTACTATGAGCTTTGCTTCCCTAAACCAACATGCCCTGGTCACTTAGGTGAAGGTGAATAGGAAAACCTATGTATGTGTTTTTACCTAATATGACGGTCCAGAATAGGAGCATAGCAGTATATGAAATTGTTGTAGAGAGACATAGTATTTCCATAAATTAATATGATATTTACATTTACAACAGCAAACCATTGTCAGCATAGTAATCTTTGTGTCTTCTTTATTTTACCAAGAATACATGCTGCCATAACACTTTCAAGTTACAAGGTACTTCCTGACAAATAAGATAAAAGGTAACGTAAAATTAGACTAACATTTCAGGGGTATCAGTGGTAACAATAACACAAGTAAAATAAGTAACAAGTAAATAAAAGCACAAAAATGAAATACAATACAACTGATTATGATAAAATAAAATAAACAATAATGTAGGAGAACGCTGACTGTATATCGAGCTTGCAGAAAATCTCACATAAAATAACACAACGTGCTGTCAGAAAACTGTAGACAGTTTGATGAAAGTTTTCTGATTGTGTTGTCCGTCTCCAAACAAAGACAGACGTCTGATGATGCGACAGAACTAACACTTACTTTTGTAATGTGAAATATGGACAACGTTAAATCAGGTAAAATAAAATGACTGTAATGGTTACATAGGTGCTAATGATCAGAGACATTTTAAACTTGACATTAAGGCAGGCTCAGATCATGGCAATATTTTAACATAACTAGCTGATTATTTGTCTGATTCTTTATCTGCATTCTGATTTTATGTCATACCTGTAACTCTTCATTTTATTCATAGGCATGAAAAGTATAACACTTAAAGGTTGCATTACAAACGAAGTGAACAGATGTCTTTGATGATTTAACGAACATTTCAAAAATACCAATGCCCATTTCAAAAATATTGACATAAATAGGAAGGTTTCCTTTTTCAAGGAGGTCAAATTATTTATTTTAGTCGCACATTTTTATTTTTTTTGCTGGAATTGACTGAATGGCTGATCCAACCCAAAAGCCTTGACAGCATCATAGATCCCCTTTCTCTCCGCTGCTTTTGCATCCCTCATTCCACCACTGCCACCTTCCATCATGGTATAGACAACAGCTGAATAAACCCATGCGTCCTCATCTCTCTGACAAAATATATGGCACATTTTGTGAGATGACTTATGATAAATGCATTTAAAATGAAAAAGGGGACCTGACTTTTGTTAGAAGGTTCATCTTACCCTTAAATTCCTGAAATGTTGATTGCGCTGTCCACCAGTGGTTGGAGTGCCTGTTAAACAAACAATGAGAACTGTATTGTAAATAAAGACAGTAACAATAAATCAAGATTAGCCAAAATATTTAACTGAATTTCACTAAAATAAAGAAGAACTGTTCTGAAGGTTAACTTGTGATCAATACTAATGAAGTTCACTTTTTCCAAGTACAATACGGTATAAGAAATGTTCCCTTACCACTGCAATAATCCCAAGACTTTATGGAACAAATGACGAAAGCTATGATGATCAGACTTAGAGCCAAAACAACACACAAGAGAAAAAACATTGTGTTGGCCCTCTGAGAATCCCACATGTTGACTGCTGAAAAATATTGAGAAAGAGCAAATAATTACAATTATTAATTAGTAAAAGTGTAATAGAGTAATTCATCATCGTGTTAATATTTGATAGAAATTATTTATCATACTTTATTTTAATGGATCCTATCGGATTTTCTTTTTTTCTTTTTTTATAAAGTTATTTTTTGGGGCATTTTTTTGCCTTTGTACTGATAGGTGCAGTGGTAGAGAGACAGGAAGGTCAGGGAGAGAGAGTGGGGATGACATGCAGCAAAGGGCCACTGGACGGATTTAAAACCGGGTCAATACGGTTAGATCTACGTCTTAATGGTACATGCTCTACCTGGGCGGGAGAGATTTTCAATTAAATGAATAAATATGTAATGTAATAGGTAATTTCACCACAATGTAGAAATGTTGTGCAGTTACCTTCAAAATCCAGTTTTGTTCCATTTCCAAATAATATCTTTCCACACATGAACACAGCACAGTGATAAGTCCCAGCGTCAGAAGAGGTGACATTCTTCAAGAAGGTGCATAAACATTTCTTTGTTGAGAGTCCCTCAGGATTCTTGTCATATCCACAAACACTGTTTCCTTGAGTATAATTAAAACTTGGGTGAGATTCAGCTCCTGCTCCAAAACAGCACACACACTTTTCTTCTGGACACAGTTTTGTCTCAGAGAGGGTTGAACACTGCAGAGACACAGAGGCTTCTGTATGGACTGGATCAGGTGTAGGGACCGCAGTGACATCAGGTTCTGTTCCTGGGATACCGAAAAATATATATTATTCAAAAAACACATTTCACCATAATTATTGAAAACAAAGCCATATTTAAGGAATCTGAAAAATGTGTTTACCTTCAACTCTCAGGTCTGTTCCTTTTAAAAATATAAAGTTCTGTTGATGTATTTTCATACAGAAGTAAACTGTTGCATCACTTAGCTTTGCTTTTTTAATAGACAAAACAAATGTTCCAAGCTCTTCAGTGACTCTAAATCGAGGATCAACAGACTCCAAGCTATATGTTTTTCCCAACACTTGAGGAAAGTTTCCAGAAACAATCCTGATCCAAAACAAGCTTCCTGAACCCTTGCGAGCACATGTGAGGGTCACATTATCTCCAACACAAACAGTCTTTGTCTCAAAGATCTGCTTGTCTGTGCATCCTGAAAAGACAAACAGAGCAGTGATTAACAACAGACACAGATTTAATATATGCCATCTATATAAGATCAAAATAAATGTGAAACACAACTGCACTAAACCAGACCTTTCTACATATACTTACCGCCCATTCTGAGCATCAGTAGCATATAAAATATGATCAACATATTTTCGTTTTTCGACTTGAGGCTGCCGTTAATTTAGATCATATAATAAAATGACCCACCTTAATAACTACAACATGTGGGAGGGAACAATGTGAGAGCAATCTGATTGGCCTCTCATTATGTCAGCGTTTGTGCTACCACAGTGGAAATAATATCAAACATCTTTCCAGTCTAAACACATGAAACAACACCAACAGCGAGCTTTTGCTTCATGTTTCATGATGGGTGTTAACAGTTTCCCTCTATGATAAACATCAACAGCAGGCTCCCTCTACAGATTAGTTAATATTACTGATACTATACCAACAACATCATCCATCAGAGAGGTGCCTGATCAGTCCCAGAGGAGTCCTGCATCAGAATGCATCAGTCTGGGATTACATGAAACAGAAAACACAGAGGCACTCAATCCACAGAAGAAGAACTTTGGCGAGTCCTGCAAGATGCTTGGAACAACATAGTGCCTTGAAAAACTTTATGCAAGCTGATCAAGGAGAATTGGTAAAGGCAAAGGGTTTTCACACCAGTTGGGGGATGGGGGTCTGTTTCTTGCACTCTTTGTGAAATTATGTGATAAATAAAAATTTTCATTCATGACATTACTTTTGAAAGCGTTGTCACTTAACTTTTGGTGCCTTAAACTTAAACACTGATTAAAGTTAGGTAACTAAAACATTTAGCAAAATTTTATGTTTGGACTGTGACTGGACACACACTGGTTTTCACTATGATACATCAGGACACAACTTCCTGCCTTGGCACTAAACAATGTAAATGATGTACTTAAAATTAATGTGGGCATGGTTGCAGGTCATGGACATCCAGATTGACTACTGAGGAGTGTTTAGGTAAGGTAAGTAGGCAAAGTTTAAAATTATGGGATTCATATATCAAAAATGGCATCATTGTATTTTTAGCACTGAACATAAGTAGTAAAGTCTTACAGAGATCATGTAACTCTGAGGCTTAAGCATGGCTTTAATATCACCACGGTTGGGATTGGGTTGGATTTGATTTCCAGGGTGTAATGAATACAAAACAATTTGAGTCAAAATAACTATTTAGTCAACTATAAGAACCCCAAAATTCAGTAGTCACTGTATTTGTGGCCTCCCACATTGAGTGTGTATATCAAGATTTTAAAGCACTGGACTGGGCAACAGCGCCCCTGTTCTCTCTTAACTTCGCTGCCATCTTTTGGTGGCAACCAGATGACTCAACAAACAGCAGATAAAACTTTTACATGCTCTTTTTTGTTTACTACAATTACTACAATTTTAAAATCCAAC